GTTAAAATCAACTTTTCCTCACTATTCCAGAAAATAAATCGATATATATAATAGAAATCCATAAAAATTATATATACCAAACCTAAGTCCAGATCAATATTAACTAGAATTATTTAATGAAACAATTACCCACTACACTTTCCTAAAAATCTCCTAATCAACGATACTTGCTTAGGAAGTAGCATCAGATGGTACAAGAAAATTTTCAGTATTACCAGAGACTATATGGTATGTGAAAGCTCCTTAGTTATCCAAACGTTCAGACAAACACATATTCCACATGGTCTAAAAGTTATCAACCAATCCAAAAAAAACATTAGAAAGCTTTATAACAACAAGTACAGCACCCTAGTAGCCTTTAGAGTTAAACTACTCTTGGAAACTCTTTCAACTTGTCTTATACTCCACCAACTATATCCTAACCAATACCCAGATACTCTTTGTCCATGATGCAAACTCTGCACTGAAGATATTCAATAAGTTTTTAAATGTTTAGAAGTATTACAAGCAATTGAACAAATCATAAAAACTATTAATCAGACTCTCCATCCAGACAATAATCACAAACCAATCTCACACATATGGAAAGTCATCGAATTATCATGTGGAGTCACAGACAAAATCTTTTTCACTTCAACTTTTACTAACTGGATTAAGGCAGCAACAGAATCTTTAACCTTGTCACATAATCTAATTTGAAAACCATATTGCTTCACAGCCAACACCTTACCTCTTACTGGAATCAAGTGGAACCATGCTAAATTACATAATTCAATCAACTCCATTAATCCAGAAACCAAAAAAACCTTGCAAACCAAAGACAACTCCAATAACTTACAAGACAATATTATTATTGACTTATCTTCTACTGTTGCTAATTTATTTATTCAATTTAAATATAATTACTCCAAATATATTTATAGCTTAACAACTCTATCTACTAATTTCAACTTTATTTCTCCTGATGCTAAGTAGGTATCTATAGCTGCTCAGTGCCATTTGACAAGATATATTGTTTTAAACTTTCTTTTCAATATTAGTTATATAGTTACTGTAAGTAAGCTAGTATTTAACTCATTGTACCAACACATGAGAGATGTTGTTTTTTTCATAATATATACTATGCTATATACAAATCAAATAAAGAAATGATGTTTACCTACAAAAAAAAAAGAAAACATTATTTACTATAAAATTAAATTAAATTAAATTAAATTAAATATATAAAACTTATAAAATAATTTTAAAATATTAAATCAAATTTATAATTAAAATATAATAACTATTTAAAAATAAATAAATAAATTATTAATTTAATAAATTATAATAATAAATTATAGATAACTTTTAATATTAATTAATAAAAAAAACAATTACATATGTATTTTTATTTTAAATTAGAATTAAAAATAATTTTTAAATAAATAAATAAATTTTTTTAATTTTTAATTACCAAAATTATTTGTATATTATAAAAATTATATATACAAATTTGCTCAATTTAACTTATTTGTTTATAACATTAAGTTTTAAATATGATTTATAGAAATGATATTTTGCTTTGTCTTATTAAATAAGATTAAGACTTATTTGTTTAATAGAACTATAATTTGCAAATTATTTTTATAATTAAAAGATATTTAAATTTATAAAGTAATTTATAATGTTGTATATTTGATACAAATTATTTTTATAATTTATAACTTATTGATTATAGAAAAAAACGATAATAATTTTTTATATAATTACGTAATTACAATTTAATTTTTTAAGTACGTAATTAATAATATATCAGTTTATAAATTACAGTATATTAAATTATGTATATCGGTTAAAAACATCAATCACGTGAAAATTGAACGTGTGTATATTAGTAAAAAAAATCAGACCAAGGAGTTTATCATGAGCACACCTTACAAGTATAGTGTAAATGATATATTTGGTGATATATTTCGCTGACCTATTACTTCCTTGAACATAGTATTTTTCAAGTTTATTATAGGTAAGAATTCAAAGTGTAATTTGCCGAGTTCCAATAAAAACCTCTATAGGATATAGATACTCGTTTTCTTGTATTTAACTTGTTACACATCTCTGATACAGTCAAATATTAACGTATTTCTTGGTATATTAACAAATTTTATACAAATGCCACGTCGGCTGATTACTCCTCAAAGTCCGTTCTGCTCTTGCACGAAACACATTATTGACACTATGAGAGAGAACGGACTAACGCCTACACTCACAGAATTAAATCAAGCAATTAAGATTGAAGCAAAATATAACGGTGACTGGCTAGCTGCTACTACTCTATTTCTAGATTTTGATAAATTAGTGTGGGATAGATTATCACGCCTCGTTAGATCAGGCGAAGTAGATCAAGATGAAGGAAGTAAACAATCTTTAAAAGAGCTTTGGGATCAGACTCCATCCGCTTTACGACCGATGAGTAAGACCGAGATCGGATACATTCGGCAAGTTTATCAAATAATGGTACGGTATTCTCCAACTCTAAACGATGCAAATAAATATTATCTTCACCTATTGAGAAATCATCTGGATACGCCGATATATGATGATGAATGCATTAACCATTGCTTGAACTCTTTAATTTATCTGATTTCAATGAGCGAAGATGTTGATTTCTTGGAAAAAGGAACCGAATTAGTACAGATTGCTTTGGATCGAGGTTTAGGAATTAATAAACCAGGGCAAGTTTTAAGAAGTGTATCAAAACAAATATTATCTTTTAATGGACTAGAAATAAGTAAAGATGGTCATTTATTGGAAAAAGAAAATTTGATTATTCAGGGCGGAAAACAGAATACCGTAAAGTTCAAAAAATACAAAAAGTTGTAAATTGTAATACATGTACAAAAATAGCAAACGCTAATATAAACTCTGTGTAACATTTTTGTTATGTGACCAAGTATAGGTTGATTTAA